AGACATTCTGGAAAGCAGGTAGGCGCTTTGATTCTGACTCCCCCCGGAGGTGCCATATCTCTGGAGTAGGAGTGAGTTGATGGAGGAACAAACAATCCCTGGCACCAATTCCAGCCAGCACTCACCCTCAGCCCTGCTTGGGTCAGTGACACTGAGAGGCTATTTCCGAGCCTTGCACCTCCACTTGTAACCAAGAATTGAGACAATGCACTGCCTATTCCTCTTTAGACTTCTGTGAGGATAGGTCATTACTATTCTTTTAGTCAACAATATTAATAATTTTAAGCAAATAATGAAAAGAATAGCTGGACTGTGCTGAGGATTTTTCTGAGCCTGGTGGTATCTACGTACAGCTCCATGTGTGATCTCATTCTTTCCTACAGTGGTCAGACGGTCTGCTCTTAGCTAAGGTTGTAAAGATCAAACTATGGATGTTGGAGAGGCTAAGGAGCTTTCCCAAGGCCAGACAGTTGCTGCTGGTAGAGGTGGCATTTGAATCCAATAGCCATCATTTCTAGTGTCAGGCATGTGCTAGATGTGTATTCTCTTTTCCAGCAGTTTATAGTTAAGAAAAATCAGCATGTGTACAAAGATTTTTAAAGAAGAAAATGATAGCATGCATCCCAGCTAAGACTCACAAGTTCAAGGTACTTCTTTGTTCCTGCATGGGTGAGAAGGGATAAGCCTTCTCGCGCCCATCACCAGAGTCAAGTGAACAAGAAAACAGGATGGAATTAATCAAAGTTTTAGGTGACAGAGGAGTGGTCAGAAGCAAGGACTGAGAGGTGTGGGGAAATGGATCCTTTTATGTCAAGGCTCAATGAAGACTGACAGCTGTGTAGAAATGGACTGGACAAAAAGACTGTGGTCTTACATGCTTGTGAGTGAGAAGGAAACTCAGTAAAGAGCTGTTTGGGTTCTTTTGCCATTGAAATGAAGGTCGTAGAAGCCACACATGACTAGTCAAGGTAGTTCAGAGATGTCTTTGTAAGGATCCTTCACATAGAAAGAGGATTTATAGACTGGCCTTGGGGAAGAGGTTCTGACTTCTGTGACTAGTGGAGGGGTAGGGTAGGGACAGAAGGCAGAAAGGGACCTCACTTCTGAGGCTTTTGCATTGACCTTACATTCAGAGTCTTCAGCTTCTGTTGTCTACTGTTCCATTAGTCTATGTTTTATAAATGCAAAAACATTTTATATGTTTACACACACACACAACACACACACACACTGTGCACGCGTGCAAGTGTAGTGAAATTTACTAACATGGGATCATTCAAAGACTTTACTCCTCCACTCTCTAGCTAAGGTGAACCTCCAAACTGTCACTGTCCTGTCTCCTCAGCCCTTTCTTCCAGAGTGTGCTCGGGTCAGCCCAGGACTGAGGTGGAGGAAGGGGTGTTGGGAAATTTCAGCTATAAAGTAAAGGCAATTTCATAGGATGATGGGTGTGGGGAACAATGGGTTGGGGGAGAGGAAAAGGAATAGGGGGATAGAGGCACACAGAGACAGTGAAGATATGGAGAAAGGGAGAGGGTAGTGAGGGAGTCCCTTACAGGTAGACAGAGAGGGTGGAAGGCAGCAGAGGGAGGGGAGCCATGGGAAATACAGACCAGACAGGCAAAGGTGGCGGGGAGGCCAGAGGTAAAGAAGACGGTGTCTGGAGATTGGGACAGGTGCAGGGTGGGCTCAAGGGTGTGGGGCTAAGGTAGACACGGGAAGACAGGGAAGGGAGCAAAGAGCACTGCAGCAGTCTGCCTTTTGGTTTCTTTTTCAAATTCTTTTACTGATTAAATAAACGGGACAGAATCTTGCTGCATTGCCCCGGGGAGTCTCAGATTACCATGCACCTGCTTCACTTTCCCAGCGCCGGGATTACAGGCGTGCACCATTCCGAGCTGGGAGCTCTTTTGCCTTGTTGGCCTGAGCCTGTCTGTTTATAATGAGCTTCTTCTGTGGACTGTAGTTTTGTTAGGCAAGCACATCTCTGTGTACACAAACTCACTTTATGTAGAAGGACCCTGGGCACATCGCTCTGCCCCATCTCCACTAATAAAATGACAGCAGTAGCAACCACTGCAAGGTGGTTGTTAGGGTTAAACATTAAACACTCTTCCTTAAACAATAGTGTGCATCATTTAACAAAGATCCTACAGATGAAATGCAGAAGCCTCCACTCTCCTGGAGGTCCCTCCATCTACTTGTTGAAGCTCTTGGTCCTGAAAACAGACTACCAGGCAACCTTCTCTTCCCGGGGCTGATCCACTGCTCCAGGCTGGTCACACAAGCATTAGTTCTTATTCCTCGCTTTTGCCCAATGTCAGTGCATCACAAGGGCCACCACTTCCTCTTGTCACTACACCTCCTGTGCTCCTTCATTAGACGCCTTGCCCGACTCCACATCTCATGTGTACTTTATTGCCACAGCTTCCTGACCTGCTCCCCACTTTTAGCTTCTCTTTGATGAGGCTACGCTATGGCTGCCATCAGGAGTGTCTAAAATCTCCTTCTGGCACGGTCTATCAATGGTTGCTTCTTGTCACCAGGGTAAAGCTATTCATTGGCTGCCTTCCAGGGCTTACGGAAGCTGACTTACCTGTTCTTCCGACTTTCTCACCCTTGCCCATACTCTAATCTTGTTCCTCCCTCTGTGAGCCAGCCACTGCCAGTATGTAGGACTGGCTGGCTGCTTCAGCCATGCCCCTCTCCCACAAATGGGCACCTTTCAAACCATATCTAGAGCTTCCGTTGACTATCTCAAGAAAACGAGGTCACCCAGATAGACAGGGAAAGAAGAGGCACATTTCTAAGTGGCCAGAGACTGATGCAGCTGCACTGTAACAGGACATCGCTTGACCCTTAAAGGTAATAAGACCACCAAGACTATTGGGGCTAACACAACTGACTAAGAGGACCACTGATTATTCTTTGACTCAATAAAATGGCACGCCCATCTTATTAACCTGGTAAAATTGCCTATTCCTACTTTGCAGGTAATACCATGACACATACAGAAAGCCCTATGTAAGGACAAAAAAAAAAAAAAAAAAAAAAAAAAACAAAAAAAAAAAAAAAACACACACACACACAAGAAAAATTTGACTGGGGAAGATCCCATCCTATTCTCTGCCCATGTCCCATGCTATTTAATTCAAGAATAATCCTCCCGACCATTAAGATTCACCATAAAATGAGCTATCTGACATTCAACAGCATGCCCTCTTGACAAGCCTGCATCCACACTCTGAGTGTGTACTTCTGGCTTGTACTAAGTGTCCCCTGTTGCTCTCTGTCCGCCTGTCTCTGGATTCTCTCTCTGACAGTGCTGGGAACCTGGAAGCACTGGGTGAAGTTCTCAGTCTGGTCCCTCGATCTTTGAAGCAGCCTTGGCCACAGGTAACAGAAAGACCATGCTCAACAGTCTGTGAGTCCCATCTTCCCAAGAAGGTGACCAGCTCCTCAACCCTCATCATCAAGGTTCAGACCTCTACATCACCTCACACAAGGCTACACACAGGTCCTGGGCAGTGTACATCTGGCCATTTGGAGGTAAAACTCCAGGTACTGCCCCTTTCTTAGAATGGGGAAAGTAATTTCATCAAGGGATGATTTTCTGATGACCTACTATGTTCTGGCAGAGTAAATACAGGGCTCAGCATAGTGCTCAGAGACAGCAAGCACTCTGCAGATGACAGCTATTTTCACGCTCGCCTTTGCTAGTGCCATGAGGATGAAAGAGACACTGCGCTCATCTTCTGCCACTGTGCACCAATGATCCCCATGGCCCCAACAGGTACTCGCTGACCATCAGCTTTCTCTGAACACTGTTCCCTTTGTGCCCACGCCTGCACCCAGAAGACATGGAAAATGCTGACTGGAACAAGACTGAAGAACCAGAGGCGCCCCTGTTCCCCCTCTACCTCCCATGTGCCCTTGGCCTCCTGCTGGAGAAGAACATGCAACATGCTGTCAGCTTCCTTTCCTGCCTCTGGGGAGCAGCAGATAGAGGGGTGTCTGTCAGTACTCTACTGCACACCCTAAGCAGCCACCCTGTCAGCCACCCATTGCTCCAGGCCCTGAAGGTGCCAACCTGAGCTGAGATGACTCTACCCCATGGAATTAGGATTTGTGTATAACATATTAAATTTTACATGTAAAGCTATCTGTCACACATAACCTGTCAGACCCTGAGAAGGCCAGGATAGCTTTTACCTGTGAGGTGCAAAATGTACATCCAATAGTCAAGTCACTACAGATTACTCAGAGGTTCTGATGCAGGCCAGCTGCGCTGAGGCCTCCATCCGCTCCCCTGGGTGGGTTGGTGGGTGGAGAGCAAAGTCTAGGTTTTGGATAGAACTTTCAGGTTGTTTTCACACCTTCTTCTTGATCTCCTTGCTTTCACCTAGCTTTTCCACAGTAGTTGTGGTTTAGCTTTGCAGTGGATGCAAACATTTGCGAATAAGAATCCTTTACACACTTATCAGAAAACAGCCCTTGTTGCAGAATATTGACTCTACAGGAAGGAGGGCCTCACACCTCCCAGGAGAGGCAGAAAGTGCATCTCTGGTGTGAGGACTGAGGGGCAATTCCAAGGCTGCTTCCCTCCTACAAGGTAAGGCCAGCTCTCCTCAGCACGAAGATGGCACCTACCGAAGAGGATTTTGTTCAAGAAACATTCTTCTGGTCAGTTGTCTGGGGGCAGGTGTTTACTCAGGCCATGCTGTCTCAACTTAAAACATTCTGTCACTTTTTTTCATCGACAGAAGAGACCAAGGATTGAAAAAAAATTTTTTGGGGGGGTGGGGGGGCTTTTGTTTGTTAGTAACTTTCTACATGGATTTACCTGTCACAGAAGTCCCTTCGTTCAACAGGGATTGGTAAAATGGATTAGGCTGGTGACTACCGCCTTCCCTTCTACACAGAGCACAGCAGGCATTATCAAAAGGGAGAGACACAACAGCCTCTCCTCCCCGTTCCTAGGGGCCCAGAGACTTGCCTACCTTTCTCTCCTTGTCACCGTACTCCACACCCAAAGTATCCATGGCCCGGACAATGGCTGCCAGAGACTGGATGGTGTTGCTGTAGACGACAGGCTTGTACTGCTTTACATCTTCTCCAGAGAAACCGTCTTCATGGATGATCCTGGAGGAAAACCACAAACCACACCTGATGAGTACAGTGTCTTCAGTTCACATGGACAACACAGGGCTCACAGGTCACAGGACAAGCCCTGGCTTTACACAGGGACAGCTGGGTCTTGTGGGAATGATGGATTACTGAGTTGCTCTACTGAGGCTGTAAAACCAAAATACCAATAAATAAATAAATAAATAAATAAATAAATAAATAAATAAGTTAAAAACCCCACTCACTTGAGTTACTGAATAATAACCCAAAATTCAGAATTTTGAAAACATTATAGTCTTCACTTTCTCCACACAGGGAAAGGAACAAGGGGCTGAACAGACAGTTGAAAACACTGTAAAAACACTGTAACAGGAGCTGCAAACACAAATCACTCAGCACAAGCTCGCTGCTGCCATCTAAGAACACTGGAGGGACCTGACTTGTCTGCCCTCAGAGAATACTGCTCAAGATCCCTGCAAGAACTCAGCAAATGAAAGATACAATCTCAATCTCTTGGTCAATCCCTGCCCCTTTCACTGGTGGTGACCAAATCCAGGCTCCAATGTACTGCTAGGTGAGGACAGTGCTCCAAGGGGAGCTGGCAGCCACACCCACAGCTCACTCACAATGCTTTTAATGAAGGTAGGGTGATGCCTGGCCTAAATGAACAATCACCCTAGTCTGTGCATATGTAAGATACACACCATCAGAAGAAAAGCCAGCAGAGGGCGTTTCCCTGCTCTTCCACAGCTGGTATTAGCCAGAGTCACCCCATGCTGCAGAATCTCAACAACTGATAGAGACCACACAGGGGACATCACAGATCAGAGGTAGTGTGACACCCTCTGGCAGCCTTTGATACACGCTCATAGCTGACAAGGATCCTGGAAAGAGGAAATCACACCCAAAAGGCAAGAATAGTTTTAAATGGAAGAAGGACCAGACAAGTTTTGATAGACTGGGCAGTTTTAAGGCCTCGTTTCCAGAACAGGAATTAATACATGTAACACACACAGGACTCAGCATGAGAGCTGAGCCCTCCTTCTACCTCATCAGAGCCCCTGTCCATGCCTTCACTACCTCCTCTCTGGCCTGGAGAATGCCACAGACAAACATCTTGAAAACAGCTTTGCTGAGGTTAATTTCATATGCTGCTTGCCTAAACCATGCAGCTCAATGAGTTATTCTTCCATTTAGCAAGTCTTTTTAAAGATATGACCATGTTATACATGTCTCAGTGACTTGTTCCTTTTTATTACTGAATAATATTCCTTTGTATGGGTATGCTACCATTGAGTCATCCAGTCACTGGTGGATAGACAGTAACTCCTGCAGCAAAGTGAGAGTTGGTGCCAGCTGTGGGTCTCCAATCTGAGTTTCTCCAAAAAGCAGAGCAGAACAACTCTGTGTACATTTTTGTGGGTTTGATTAGTGCTAAATCTGTTTTTTTATAAGTGCTTCTTTTTATTTGAAAAGATTTATTGTATGTTTGCCTGCCTGCATGCAAGTGTACCCACAGGTCAGAAGACAGTGTCAGGTCCCTCAGAACTGGGGTTACAGACAATTGTGATTGCCTTGTGAGTGCTAAGAAGGGAACCTGGGTCCCTGCAAGAAGAGAAGTCACTCCTCACTGCTGAGCCAGCCATCTTTGCAGCTCTTGCAAAATGAAATTGAGAATACAGTCAAACACCCATGGGTTTGTGACCCCAGAGAGTCCCACAGGTAAACACTAGCTCTCTGCATAAAGCCGGAGAAGAGAACACATGAAAGCAGTGTGTTCTGACAGCGGACAACGGGCTGTGAAGGCGGCTGTGGACTGCATGCACTGGCCAGCACAGCACAGGCTGGAGGAGCCAGTCATGCCTCAGGGACTGGTGGGCTGCGGACACGAGGGTCAGCACTGAAAAGCGGACGCAGCTGGAACCGAGAGTAAACCACAGAGAAAGAGTTCTTGGCATCTATGTGGGGCTCCTGGGGGTCTTTGGCTGAATACATGAGACTCCACAGCTCACAAAGAAGAGCACCAGAGAGGGAATGAGCTTCAGGGGGCTTGGAGGCTGTACACTTGCCAGCATTCCCCCAAGCCAGGAAGGAGATGAACCTCCCAAATGACAGAATGGAGTCCCCGGGGGACTCTGGATCCTTTAGCAGAGATGCCAGAGACCACAGGAACTAGGTTAAGATAGCCTATATCTCCCTGAGGTCCTCCCGACAAAGCTAGAAAGCAAGTCTGAGAAATACAGCTGCCCACACTAACTTAGCCCCTCAAAGAATAAGAAAATAAAGACAACAAACAGCCTTTAAATGAGAACGACAAAATCTAGATGCTCGGCAGAGCAACGTGCATGGCACCACCTTTCAGGGGAAAAAGTCCCGGCTCTGTATACACGGCAGGAAAGTGTTGGCTCACAATTAAGAGAAGCATTAGCTAACTATAGTAGATGCGCAAGTGATATGATGACAGAATTAACACATGGTATTGCAAAACATCTACTTTAGATATTTTCAGGACATTAAAGGAAACTATGAGTATAATTTAGAGAGAAATGGAAGCTACAGAAAATGAACAACAGGCGAAATTAATGGCAGATCAGACATGCACAAGCCTGACGAACCTGAAGACAAACAAAGATTATCCAAATGGAGGAAAAAGAGAAAATCGCTGAAAACTCCTTGTAATACATATTTCTATGCAAAACCTCTAGCAATAAAGGTGGGGTACACGCAGAAAGGTGCATGTGAAAGAGTAAATTAAAGTGTGTGAGGTACACACGGGAATTTCAGAGCACTCTTCCTAATGTTCTGAGTTCAGGATGTCATCTTTGTGAACATCAAATAAAGTCCCCTTATTTTCTTTCCGCTCATGCCATTCCAGTGAGGCACAGCACCATAGTGCCAGCTCGTGTGGCAGCCAGGCCCGAGCCAACTCCACCTCTGCTGCTGAAGAACTATGTGCACCCCTGATAGATAACTTAGCTGCCCAGTCTTGGTTTCCTCACTGGCAAATTGTTCTGGGGAATCAGAGAGGTGTGGCAGAGCGTGCCTGTAATCCCAGTCTGGACTACAAAAGATCCTGTTTCAAAACCACAAAAACAAAAGCCTAGAGGTGAGAAAGACATCAGTGAAGACACTTCAAATGGCAGCCAGTGGGAATCGTAGTTCCATTCTAAAGCAACCCCCAAATACAGTTCCCTCACTTTCTGGCAGAGGCAACCTGTGTTTGAGGGCTGGCACCCTGCGCTAAGTGCTCTACTTGCTTCATTTCTTCCAATCTGCAAAGCAGCTCCGGGCTTGATGAAAATCACCAGCTCCTCTTTACAGATGAGGGGACAGGCCCAGTGAGGTCAGGCCACTTCCCTGAGGCATACAGCTGGTGAACAGCATCCAAGGTTCTGTTTGTGACCCATGGACAGATGGTGAGAGACAGGGCAGCTTCCCTAACCCCCGGCCCTCACCTTCAGGTTCCCGAGACCCCAAGACTGCACACACATGCACACATATACACAATGTTGTGCATGTACCCATGACTGCAGTGCCTGTCTAATGTTCTGAGAGCCTGGAGAGGGGGCTCCTGAGAGTCCTCAGAGGTACACTGCTGGGTAGTTCAGTGACAGGGGATGCTTTTGGCCTGAGCTCTGGAGGTAGCAAGATTAGGGATTGGAAAGCAGAAGAAAGGCTCCATGTATTACCAGCTAGTAGTCCCATGTACTGCAGAAGCCCTAGACAGACCTGCCGAGTGAATGCATAGAATTGAGTCTCGGTGATGTCATGTGAGTCCCTACATCCATCTATGCCTGAAACTAGAGCCATCCCTACTGATATGACTGATATAAACCACAGTAGTTTGTATTTTTGCATACTCTAATGTCACTCATCCGACTCATGATTAAAATGTTCTATAACTTGATAACAATAATTTGATATCACCTCTCAGCATATTTGCTTGTTAATTCTTTGTTTCTACTCCAGTCCTTGATATCTTGTTTCACCCATCTCTTCTCTCCCTTTCCATGGTTCTTGGCAAACAGGTGGTGGAAGTGGAAATATGAACAGTATATACACAAATGTACCGGCTATATCCCACCAAGGAGCTCACAGGCAAGTCTCCATGTGTGAAGGCACATACATGCATGTGTGTCTGGGTGTGTTGGGGTAGGGATCCACCAACTTTTTATACCTGCAGAGCCAGCGCATATTTTGGAAGCCAAGTTATTTCTCACAGTGCACACCTAACACCCAGGGACTCTGAGAGGATGTCCCGGGTCACCAAGCCAGAAGAGCCATTCGAGGAGGAGTTTGACCAGACAAGGCTGACTGCAGCCTGAGTATTCAACTATGGACAGAAGCTGCCAGCTGGACTCTGGGCTCCTAACAACACTGCTAGGTAGGTGATCTTGAGGGTACATGGAGGGAGAGGGATGGTGACAGGTTTGCTGACCACAGTAGGCGACGAATTTCCAGGAAGAGGAAGTCAGAGGTGGACCCTTGCCCTCCACCCACCAACTCTCTCTGCACGAGGCCCAGACCTGGCTCTCCTTGTTGTTCTCAGCAATTCTCCCAGGGTGGGGCTGATTTTAGCCGCAGGAAGACTGCAGCTGGGCACAGAGGCCTTATATGGTCACAGAACCACAGGCTTGGGAGTAGGAAGGGACCTCACACAATCATCTGGCCTGGCAGCCTTTCCCTGAATCATGGGCCCCTTTGAGTGTGACAGAGGTATCAGCACAGTTTTCTCCTTGATTTCTGGAGGTTTGTAAACAGCTGTCATAAACTGCAGGGACACAGCCCCATCACTGGGCTGGATCCAGTGTTCGTTTTGCCTGCCATGTCTCACCATCCTCTGCCACAACCCTTGAGTGATTTAGACTGGGGATGGTGGTGCTAGGCACTGGCTGTGTGATGCAGTAATTTCCCATAACTGCTGGCTGTCAACTGTTCTCGCTGTGTTGTGGTCAGGGCCAAAAGAGCAGCTGCATGGGCAGGAGGGAATCAACCATGGTGACTGCTGGTACATT